CCCAGGGTGTCTGGTTTAGAGTGTGAGAGTGTGAGACGTAGGAAATCAGAAAGGAGAATGGGAAGGGTGAGGTCATGGTGAGACTGTGGAAAAGAATTTTCATTTTATCATAAAGGTTGTGGTAAGATTTTGGAGAGAGAGAGAGAAAAAAACAGTAGACATCATCCGAGGAGGAAACGGTCTTTAAAGCTAGTGGGCTACCAAACAGAGTTCAGATAGAATCCACAACTGTCTGCCAGGAACCTTACAGAAGGCAGTCCTGTTCAGATGGGTAAACTGAATAACAATAAATTATACCTCATGTAAGAAGACATCTACGTATGTTATGTGTATATATTTCAAGAACTGCCCCCATTCCCAAACCAGAAAGGGCAACTGAGGCAAACCCAGAAGGAAAACATTGCTCTTAATTTTATGCACACGAGAAATCGTTCCATCCCCAAATTGAATTCAATTCCACAGTAACCTGTGTTGTGGGAGAGCATGCATGCGTGTGTTGTGTTTAGTGTGTGTGACGAGAGAGAGAGAGACACAGAGAGACACAGAGAGAGAGACACAGAGAGACACAGATTGATTTCTGTGCACACGGGCATCAAAAATATGCAACCACTGCACCAGGTCAGACATCAGCATACTGGTGCCATCTCTGGGAAAAATTCCTTTACGGTCCCTCAAAGTCCCATCTTGTCTCCTCCACCAGTGTCGTTCCCATGCCAGTACACCCACCCTCCCCCTGCTACTACTGGAGTCTCTTAAAAAGAAAAATCAGGGCCAACCGAGTGGCACGTTGTTTAAGAGTTGGCTTAGGACGCCAGCTCTGAGCAGCAGGGCCCCGGTTCAGATCCCACATGGGTCAGTGACACTGCCCTCTACAGCTAAGATGGTGAACAACAGCTCGACCTGGAGCTGGGCTGCCGTGAGTTGCCAGCAACAGTGTAGGCTGCAGTGGGGCTGGCTGGCAGTGGGCATGAGCTTTCGTGAGCCGCCACGAGTGGCTGTCCAGTGGCCGGCGAGCAACTGCCTCACCCGGCAATGATCACAATACCAACATGGGCCAGTGAAACGACGTCCTCCACAACTAGACTGAAGAACAAAAGGACAGCAACTTGTTGTTCCCCTCCCCCAATTCCCCAAAAAATTTCTTAAGAAAAAGAAAAATCAGAGACTAAACACAGAACCTCAGTAAATATTTACTGGGTATATGAAGTTATTTGTTCACCTGAATTGTAATATACTTAGGTATAAAAATAACTACAGAAGCAACAATACCCACTGATTAAATAATTTAAATTACGGGATTTAAGTCAGTTAAAATTTGCAATATTAAAGTAAAAAGTAATTATTAACAATAATATCTATAAACTATATTTTAAACTTCACAACTGTAACTATTTTGTAATTAATTTATGTCCTTTTTTGAAGGAAATGCCTACTGTGAACAGACTTTGAAGGATTCGTTTAACCACATACTACTACATGACACAAATGTTAACATCACAACAGACATAAACACTGGACCCCTCACCCCCCGTACTTCTCTCCCATGACATACCCCAGCCGTGGGATCCTCTCTGCCATCCCAGTTATACCAGCAATGATGTTACTGTGGGAGATCATGACCCCCTTGGGCAACCCTGTGGATCCACTCGTGTACATGATTACCGCGATATCTAAGGGGGCTGGTTGGCTAGGAGGTTTGTTTTCTGTATTAGAGAAAAAAAAACACACACTTGTCAGAAATTTAGCCATATCACCAATTTTTTTCATTATCATTTGTTAACGCAATTCAAAATCTGTTAATCATAATCATACAAAGGTCAACAAAGCAGATCAAGTCCCTGCACATAAGGGACATATTTTCTGTTGGGAGAGACAAGCATATAGATCTATAGTAAGTTAAGAAGAAAAATAAAGCAAGACAAGGTAAGAAGATGAAGGGAGAAGCTATTTAGATGGAAGAGTCAGGAAAAGCCTTTCCGTAGGGTTGATATTTTAGTGAAGACCTGAATAAAGTGAGACATGGAGCCATGAAAACCCTGGAATTGGGCAATTGTATCAAACAGGAAATAAGCAAGTGCAAAGGCCCTGAGGTAAGAATTGCTTGGCCCTGGTAAGAAGTGTGGCGGGGATGGAGTGAGCAAGAGGACAAGAGGCAGGAAGTGAAGGGGACACCAGGACCACCGCACCCAGGGCCTCAGAGGCCACGCTCAGGGCTCTGGGTTTCACTGTGTGGTGGAAGGCGCTCTAGTGTCAAACGGGCTTGTCATCATCTGTGGTAAGGATCACCTGGGCTGCTGTGTGGCTACTTAAGAAAGGAGGTAGAGACAAAAGGCCATTCCAGCAATTCAACTAAAAAAATAGGGTGGCTGGACTAGGGTAACAATGCCCTCCATTTGCACCTACAGAGGTGACACAGTACCTGGAGAAGTGGGTCGTGGATGGTGCTGTTGATCTTTCTGAATTAATCTTGGAACTACTCTAATGGGGACTTCTTAAATTAGTGTGTGTGTGTGTGGGGTGAGGAGGAGGGGCCGGGGAAGCACGCGGAATTTCAAACGTGTTCCCAAGTGAACCCTTTCTCTCCTACCTGCCCAGGTAAACTTCTTGACCACTGTTACCACTCCAGGCCTCACTTCTTCATCTGCCATTCACGCCTTCATCCCACAGCACCACACTCCACCACTTCCTGGAAACGGCTCCCGGAGGTGACAGATGTTTGCTACGTCACACGGTCCTCTTGCCATCCCTGCCATCTGACCCCTCCGGCGCACCTGGTCCTGCTCACGACTCCTGCCTCACCAACATTCTCCTTTCACTTGTCTTCCAGGAGCCATGCACGTGTCCGTCCTTCCTCTCTGAGCAATGCTTGCTGGCCTCTGGGGGTGCCCTCTCTGTGGGTGACCTCACCGACTCCACAGCTATAATAAAAACCTAGCTACTTCCAGCTTCCACATGTCGTAACTCCAAACATTAACTCCCGAGTACTAGACCTGCCCATTAGATACTGAATTCTGAATGTCCCCCAGCACCTAAAATTCAATAATGTAAGCATAACCCCATTCCCGAGCTGAGCCAACGTTTACCTCCAATTAATCACTAAGTTTCCAACTATAAAGGAAATACAGCCCCAGCACCCTAGCAGCTTTTTGTGATACCCCTAAACATACTGTACTCTCTGACATTTTTGGACACTTATTTCAGGGTAGGCACGTCCAGGGTCACCATGTCTCGGGGCGCTAGTAGTAGGATAAAATGAGACCCCCCTCTGGAAACGGTAGTAAAAGGAGGGGTTTAGGTTTAGCCACTCCAGCTATCTGTTAATACTTACAGGTAATTCACAGAGGACAAGTTTAATGTCAATACTTATAAAACTGACTGTATGCCATCTAAAACCATCAGAAAAAGGAAACGGAAAAAGTGTATAATGTAAAACGTATGTTATTTTAAACTACTGGGTTGTCGGAAAAGTCACGACGCATTTTTGCAACGAAAACCAGAAAAAATACGTGATGACTTTTCCAACAACCTAATAATTTCAAGTAAAATACTCTTTTAGAACATTCATAAATTATAATTTTCCTTATTAAACCTTTCTTTAAAGGGTGGATGCACACCCAGAATGACCGTACTTCCCAAAGCGCTGGTCTAGAATACTGACTTGCCACTTTATCTAACTTGGGGATCGACACTTGGAACAACCCTGAGGGCCGTGGCCACTGCAGAATGACGTGGGGAACTGGGGCTGTGACTCACCCGTGCTGGCCTTCGCCCCCAGGGCCTGCACGGCGGCCATGGTGTGCACAATGACGCCCTTGGGGAACTCGGACCAGGTTGGTGGCTTACCATCAACGGTTATGATGTGCCGCAGGCGGGGGACTAGAGAAACGATATCCTGGACAAAACACAAGCAGTCATGCCNTTTTTTTTTTTTTTTTTTTTAGCTGAGCCATCCTACTACCTGTTGGCAGCTCAGCGGCAGCTCAGCTCGGGCCGGGCATCGAACCGGCGACCCCATTGCTCAGAGCTCGCACTGTTGAGTGAGCTCTTAACCAACTGAGCCACTCGGCCGGCCACCTATTGTAAATTTTTATATTCCAGGGATGACCCAACATTACATAAAGATATATTCTTATATCATACACAGCATCTCTTTCTAAAAACTATTTCAGAAACATTCACTTTCAAAAAAAAAAGATTAGATGGCTCACCAATAATCTTTAAACAACCATCAGGGTCAAACTCCCCAATATCTCCAGTACAGAGCCACCTCTGTCCATTTTCATCTTCGAAGAAATCAGCTTTTGTTTTTGCTTCATTTTTGTAATATCCCATGGTCACATTTTGGCCACCAATAAGAATTTCACCCCTGGGATGTGGTTTATCAGTATTGAAGTATCCACCTAATAAACAGAATAATTTGCAGTTAATTCAATATTTTTATCCCTGTACGAATCATGTGAAAATTTCAAACCGTTGTTTTCTAAACAGGGATATCTGATTTTAATCCAGTTAGTTTCCCAAAGGAAATAAGGAACGTACTATGAAGAAATAAAATTCATCAACATAAAACTAGGTGTAAAATTTCAGTTGCTTAAGCCATAAGCACTTATGCTTTTAAACTATTCCAAGAAAAAAACTACACTCAAAAATCCAGCATCTATTGTATAATATAATTATATATACTAAATTCCTTTGAGGATTCTGGAGATTCTTAAATATCATACTAATAAACTGATAAAAGTATTTAAGCATGCATTTAATGAGAAAAAAATCTGTATAAAATCAAATCACTATATTTTAGAAGATTTATTCCTTACAAATAATTTCAGAATGACTCCAAGTTTAAATTTATTGAAGTTTCACTAATTCTGCTAAAAATAGCTGAAAAATTACATATGTGCCTTACAATCTTTATCTTTACTTTGTATAAAAGAGCATCCAAACAAATCATAGATAATATGTACACGTTTAAAAGGGTCAAAGAAAAAATTTTAAATGTAATTACAATAGTTTTTAAATGGCATAAGCAACACATTTTTATGGAATTATAGTGAAAATTTCCTTCTGATAATTCTTGGTGGAAGCCTTCAGGGAAAAGAAAGAAATAAAAAATGTAAAAATCATTATTTCATAAAATGGATTTCATTTCTAAAAAAAATGAAGTTATGATCATTTCTAATTTACTGACATTATTTAGCACAGTTCTCAAGTTTTGCATAATTCTTACTTGCATTTATGTAAAAAAAGCAAAATAAAAATTAGTTCTTCAGAATCATCTTTGAAACAAGCAAAATAAATTCATTTGCATAGATCAGATAAAATATTTCTAGTATAAAAGACAAAAATGAGCACTTGTAATTTTATATCCTAAAATACCAAAGAAAATGAAGCACAATTCTAATTTTAAAGCTTAATATTATACAAATTAATGCTCTACGGTTAAAATAGGTTATTACCTTCCTCCCAGCTCTTTAATTTGATTTCACAGCAAACTAACGGTGCTCCCACTCTGCCAGTATTGTAGTCCCACACTAAGATGTAAATGAAAAAAGGATTTGATTACAGTAGTTAACAAATTGTCTTATTTTTCTAAATTACCAAAAATGATGATTTAACCCAAAGCTTAGATATCCCCAGAGAATCATTAGAAGCAGAAGGCACAAACTGGTGAGCCACAGGCTGTGTGGCCAACATTGAGTTTTTTGTTTTGTTTTGTTTTTAATCTGGATTATTGACGTTTAAAAATCCAGACTTTGACATGTGAGTGTGGCATCTCCTGGGACCAGCCCACCTGGTCCAAGCCAGCTGTGTCCCCATTAGATGGGACAGGCCTGCTCCCATTCCCCATCACGTTTTCTTACATCATCAGGGCCCAGCTCCTCATGTAAGTACTTCCTGGTTCATGAGTGTTCAGGAGTGC